ACCGGAGCCATGTTATGACTTGATAACGTCCATGACAATACTGTGTTCGTTGTTTGTGGCAACCGGAGCCATGTTATGACTTGATAACGTCCATGACAATACTGTGTTCGTTGTTTGTGGCAACCGGAGCCATGTTATGACTTGATAACGTCCATGACAATACTGTGTTCGTCGTTTGTAGCAACCGGAGCCATGTTATGACTTGATAACATCCATGACAATACTGTGTTCGTTGTTTGTGGCAACCGGAGCCATGTTATGACTTGATAACGTCCATGACAATACTGTATTCGTTGTTTGTGGCAACCGGAGCCATGTTATTACTTGATAACGTCCATGACAATACTGTGTTCGTTGTTAGTAGCAACCGACTTCACCTTATGACTTGATAACGTCCATAACAATACTGTGTGACCAACTCAACATATTGCCTGCCTTATCTTACACGTGCGATATAAGATAATAAACAATACTCTATATAAAATGTGTTTTTAACTTCTGCTTAACGCAGATAGCCCTCGTGTAGCTTTGCGTGAAATTCAATAAAAAAAACTTTCACATCTCTAGGTTTGAAAAATAACTAATATTGTTTATAATTAAGTAATTTATTGTACGAAAGCTCCAATGAAGGTTTGTGTTATTCTACACCTGTTAAAGGATGAAAATAAACATAAAACCCTAATTGATAAAACTATAAACACATTAGGTGATGACGTCAATCTTTACGTTAGGCCACTTAAAGCTGGGACGGTGATGACGTCAGTCTTTACGTCAGGCCACTTAAAGATGGGACGGTGATGACGTCAGTCTTTGCGTCAAGCCACTTAAAGCTGGGACGGTGATGACGTCAGTCTTTACGTCAGGCCACTTAAAGATGGGACGGTGATGACGTCAGTATTTACGTCAAGCCACTTAAAGCTAGGACGGTGATGACGTCAGTCGTTACGTCAGGCCACTTAAAGCTGGGACGGTGATGACGTCAGTCTTTACGTCAGGCCTCTTAAAGCTGGCGCGGTGATGACGTCATTTTTTATGTATCTCTCCTAAAGAAAACCACTTCCGCTTCCTTCTTTATCTACAACCCACATCGTTAAACGCAGACAGATAAATTCAACATATTTTAAAGTAAAATATGAATTAATATGTATTCACATCTAAAGAAACATATGTTTTGTTTTGTTTTACTTTTCCTCCTAAGACGAAAGCTTTTTAAGTTTTATGAAAATTTTATTCCAGAAAGGAAAATCTGAATGTTCTTTTTCCCAGAAACAGTATCTGTAACTTGTTTAGTTCTTCACGACTCTCCCGGAAGATGAACCCCTCTAACCTGGTGGAAGAGGGATAAATATTATCTGAATGTTCTTTTTTCCAGAAACAGTATCTGTAACTTGTTTAGTTCTTCACGACTCTCCCGGAAGATGAACCCCTCTAACCTGGTGGAAGAGTGATAAATATTATCTGAATGTTCTTTTTTCCAGAAACAGTATCTGTAACTTGTTTAGTTCTTCACGACTCTCCTGGAAGATGAACCCCTCTAACCTGGTGGAAGAGTGATAAATATTGTAAGAGAGGCCTGTTTGTTATTAAGTAGTTTTGTTTGAATAAATGGATGGATGAAACAGACTTTTAGTGATAGTTATATCTGAAAGTACAATTTGATGACTATACCCAAGAGCCACCTAGTTTGTAACTTTCTCCATCATAAATTAGAAGCTGTAGTGAAGTCGCCTTTGCTGCTAACTATTTTTTTTTGTAATTAAGCACAAAGCTACATAATGGGCTGTCTGTGCTCTGCCCACCACGGGTATCGAAACCCGGATTCTAGCGTTATAAGTCCGTAGACATACCGCTGTGCCACTGGAAGGCTGTTTGTTTGTTTGGAATTAAGTACAAAGCTGCACAATGGGCTGCCTGTGCTCTGACCACCACGGGTATCGAAACCCGGTTTCTAGCGTTGTAAGTCCGCAGACATACCGCTGTGCCACTGGGGGCGCTCCTAACTAGGGTTACACTTTACATAACTCCCATCTAAGTACTAATTCGTTGATTATTTATTCTTTTTGTCACTTGGTTTAACTTTCAGATATTAACCAATCCGTCCCTGATGTTCTGCGACGAGCCCACGTCAGGATTGGATTCATTTATGGCCCAGAGTGTTATTAGTGTATTAAAAGATTTGGCCACCAGGGGACGTACCATAATCTGCACCATCCACCAACCATCTTCTGAGGTGTATGCTATGTTTGATCAGATTCTACTGATGGCAGAGGGAAGAGTTGGTTACATGGGAAGTGCCGCATCTGCTTTTACATTCTTTGAAAGGTGAGAGTTAACTATGTGGGTACGTTAACTTAACTTCATACAAAACGGACCACCAGGTGTCATTAGCTTAAGATAGACGTATTCGGCGTTTTTCATACATATAAACGTTTTCCTGCACAGAAGAAGGAAATGTGTCTTCTGGATTGTGAATTATTTACCATAAATCACTAATTCACTTGTTGGAACATCTGGACTTACCACCTCATGGAAGGTGAGCCCCTCCCCCTAGTGTGGCTCGGCGGTAACTCTGAAGGTTTATAATACTAAAAACCGGGTTGCGATACCCGTGGTGTGCACAGTGCAAATAGCACATTGTGTAGCTTTGTGCTTGGTAACAAACAAGACAAACATAACGGACGAGGTGGTATGTAAACGGTAGTTCCTGACAATGCCGATAGGATATGCCCCTAATCACTACTCGTACCAGAGAGAAGACTATTATCGTCAATGGTTTTATTTATTATATTGTTTCATTCAAGAAACTGTAATAACCCCCAAATGATAGCTTTCATTGATTTACGTTTATCAACCAGGACACCTTATTACTGAAGACATATGAGTCATTTGTCCAGTTTGTGGTTTTTTGCTATAATCGTGAAGGACGATACAGTAGTTTACATTTATTAGAAAAGAAACTGTTTTTGGTTGTCCACTTAAAATAATGTATTTTGTATGGTATTAATTTTTTGTTTTATTATCTATGACCCCATAAATTTTAATTGTCTTTTGGTGGAGAAAGGTTTATTATATTTTGAAAGTAAATTTACTTGTCCAGTTATTAACTTAATCCCAATAAGGATATAGTTGAACAATCAATGTGACTATTGTTGTATGGATCCAGTTGAGCAATCAATGTGACTATTGTTGTATGGATCCAGTTGAACAATTAATGTGACTATTGTTGTATGGATCCAGTTGAACAATTAATGTGACTTGTTTTATGGATCCAGTTGAACAATTAATGTGACTATTGTTTTATGGATGCAGTTGAACAATCAATGTGACTATTGTTGTATGGATCCAGTTGAACAATCGATGTGACTATTGTTGTATGGATCCAGTTGAACAATTAATGTGAATATTGTTGTATGGATCCAGTTGAACAATTAATGTGACTATTGTTTTATGGATCCAGTTGAACAATCAATGTGACTATTATTGTACCCGTATCTATTAGTATAAAATGATCCTCAACAAAACATATTGTTTCCAGTGTTGGTAAACAGTGTCCAAGGAACTTTAACCCTGCAGACTTCTTCATTCATACTCTTGCAGTGACCCCTGGCCGAGAGGAGGAATGCCGGCGAGAAATACACGTGAGTATTCACTGTGCTGTATGACCACACTGACCTGTTCGTTATTCGATATAATTGTCATTCTACGTATACATATTACTTGATATATTTCTAAGTACATTAATAAACTGTTCAAAGTTAGTAACATCTCCACTAACTGTCCTCACTTTGTGTGGAGTAGTCCAACTCTCTCGTCCAGAGAATTCTTTAGATCTAAAGCTGTTGTAGTTAATATTCAACCTTTTCTCATCATTAATGTCTGTACGTGTGTGGAGGGACATCTTAACAAAGTGGTCAGTCAGTATATAATAACACAGTCCCCCTTATATGTCCTGGAGCATCCTAACAAAATGGTCAGTTACTGTACAATAACACAGTGCCCTTTATTTGCCCGGAGCATCCTAACAAAATGGTCAGTTACTGTACAATAACACAGTGCCCTTTATT